GCTAAATGAAAAATCTCCTGCCAGCTGATAAGGTTTATCCTTCAGGGTTCTTGGAAAGCCTTCCCCTGAAAACAAGCAAATGGAGCCCAAGAGAGGATGCGTGAGTCGTGGGAGGAAGCAAAAAGATGGGAGGAGTAATGGGGAAATGCTGCCCCCATTCCTCTGCTTAGTGGATTTTTAAACAACCTAATAAATGGGGCCTGAGAGACAGTAGATGGAGTGAGGCACTGCATGTAAGGTGCCTGTCTTGCATGCAGCCAACACCAGCTCAAACCCTTGTTTCATCCCTAGTATTACATGTGGTCCTGGGAGCACCATCAGGAATGACCCCTGAGCAGGGTCAGTGTGGCCCACATCTCTGTCCAATTGGGGGGGAAAAAAAAGGAGAATCGAAGGGCCAGAGTGATGTATAGCAAGCAAAGTACCTGCCTTGGATGACACCCACTGGAGCACAGGTAGATGTAGACCAAATAGAAAAAAAAGAAAAGAAAAGCCTAAGGGTAGTTCAACTCTCAATAGCTTTAAAGAATGTTTGTTTGGCTTTTTTTGGGTCACCCCCAGCGATGCACAGAGATTACTCCTGGCTTTGCACTCAGGAATTCCTCCTGGCGGTACTCAGGGGACCATATGGGACGCTGGGAATCGAACCTGGGTCAATAGCGTGCAAGGTAAACGCTCTATCCACTGTGCTATTGCTCAAGACCTAAAGAAATTTTTTTTTTTTTGCTTTTTGGGTCACACCCAGCAATGCACAGGGGGTCCCCCTGGCTCTGTGCTCAGGAATTACCCCTGGCGGTGCTCAGGGGACCACATGGGATGCTGGGAATCGAATCTGGGTTGGCTGCGTGCAAGGCAAACGCCCTACCTGCTGTGCTATTGCTCCAGCCCCCCTAAAGAAATGTTTTAACTGAAATACAATGTTACAAAGTTATTCACCACTGAGTATCAAGCTACAGTGTCCCAACACCAATAGTAACAGTATTGTAAAAAATGTCTCATTAGCTTTTAGGCACATTGGACCAAATATCAGGTCACTCATTAGGATGAAAAGAGGTAAGTGCTTTCAATTCTTCTGTTACTTTTGAACACACACACACATACACACTTTATTTTTTTGCCACACCCAGCAGTGCTCAGGGATCACTCCTGGCTGGCTCGGAGGACCACAAGGGTGCTGAGGAGCAAACCTGGGTCAAGCTTCGTGCAAGGCAAGCGCCCTCTCCAATGTACTATTTCTCAGTAAGTAAACTTTCAAACAGAAAAAAAACAAAACAAAACAAAAAAACTCCCATAGTAAACCTCCATGACAAACTAAAGGATCCTTCACTTCTGAGGGTATTTCCTGAAAATTGTAGAAAGACCAACAACTAAGACTTATTTGGGAGGCAAAAGTATGTGAGAAAAATCTATCATCCTCTCCCTAGGTGAGGGGAAAAAAGATTAGCTACGAGGACTATTTTTTGCCAGTCATTCACTCAGCAATATTCACTAATGTCTACGGAGTTCCAAGCATGGCAAAGACAGATTCCCTGTTCTATCAGAAATACAGGATGTGACAAGAGCAGGCAGGGGCGAGGGAGAGGAAGGAGGGCAGAGAGGATGAAACTGAAGAAACAGGAGGGGATGAAGACAGCTGCACTTCAGATGTTTCCCAAGTCTGCTTTTGCTTTTGGAACATAGATGCTTGGGGCTCAGGGATCACGTAGTGCCAGGGATGGATCCTGGGGTTCGGGCATATAAAGCATGTGCTGGGCCCCCTGACCTCTCTTCAGCGCTGTTTCCTCATTTAATATCTGCAACTGAAGGTTAAGTAACATTGCCAAGGTCACAGGATATTAAATGGCAGAATCAGGTCTGGAATCCAGCCTTGAATGACTCCGACGTCTGTGCTTTTCCTACTGTGCCATTCAGCTTCTTCGCAAAGCTGTTTCTTCTGTCAACTCATGGGACGATGTCTGCACACCTCAGATTCTCAGTGCCAGAGAATTAAATTGTAGTCCAGGCTGCCTTCTGCTTCCCACCTGCCAACTCGTTTACACTAACCTGCTAATAAACTTAATTTGTTCACTCAGATCATAATCATGTGCAAGACTCAAAAGAAGGAAAGCTAGAAAACTCCCACACAACCCAAAACATCCCCTCCCCCACCCTTTTTTCAGGATACCGCTTTGTTGTACCATAAATAAAACAGAACAACTTTTGTGGAATATAATAAACAGAGTATGAGACTATTACCCATGGACAGTAGAAACAAAGGCCAGGAGGGCTGGTCCACCGTTGGAAACCTGTCACAAGTAGGGGGAAGGAGGAGAGGGCACTCAGGATAGAGAAGGGACCACTATGACAATGACAGTGAAAGTGATCACTCTTGGACAAGAACTGAGTGCTAAAAGTATGATAACCTTACAGTACCTGTACCGCAAACCACAATGATCAAAAGGAAAGAGAAAGAAAGAGAGAAAGAGAAAAACGTCTGCCATAGAGGCAGACTGGAGGAGGAGGTGGGGGAGTAGGGTGTATGTAGGGGGGAGGTAGGACACTGGTGGTGGGAAATACAGGATGGGTGTAGAGAAGGGTGAAGGGATGGGTACTGAGGGCGTTGGTGGTAGAAAATGTACAAAGGTGAAGGGACAGGTATTGGAACACTGTATGACTGAAACCCAATCACGGACAAATCTGTAACTATTTACCTCACAGTAATTTAATTAAAAAGAAAACAAAAAACAGAAAGAGACCAGAAAGCCAGTACAATAGGTAGGGCGCTTGCCTTGCATGTGCTGAACCTGGGTTCAATCCCTGAGAATGGCCGGGAGCAATCCCTGGGCACAGAGCCAGGAGTAAGCCCTGAGCACTGCCCAGCGTGCTCCCCCTTAAAGCAACAACCAAAAATAAGACAGAACTTGCTCCCAAACAGCCTTCCAAAGCCACCCATACAGGTTATAGAGAGCAAACCCAATTAAAGAGGTATAAACTCAGCTCAAGGCAAGCGTTCAGCAGAAAAAAAGAAAGCGAATAAACAGTTGTGCTTTCACTTCTGATATGACTTTCAGACCCAACAGCTCTCATCTATAATGGGGCTCGGTGGCCCGAAGCACTGCGCTTTCCCTGCTTCCTGTTCCTGCTTCCTCTTTCTCAGCTCTGGCCTTCTTTAGGAATCTCAAACTTCAAACAAGGTTTTTATGACATTACATCGATGTGCAAAATAACACTGTCTCACAAAGACTGAATTTCACAAGTGTCTTTTATTTCACCTGGTGCTCTGGGACCATGTGGGGCTGGGAACTAGGCCCCCCCCCCCAATTCCCTTTCTCCCCCCACGGAAAGCATGCGCTCCACTCCTTTGGCACAAAAACCTTCCTTTCCCTCTATGTTCTGGTGATTTTAATGCCGGTTGAACATAAAAGCCAGATCTTTTAGCAATAACGAAAGCAGAATAGAAGCCACTTAAATAACCCTTTGTTCTTTCCCATCTACAAGCTGGCAAAAAAAAAAATTTTTTTTTAAGCTTATCCAGAGGACGGGGCACCAGCTCAGGTGGCAGAGCACATGTCTGCCATGTGGAGGTTTTGGGCCTGTTCCCAGCACCAAAGCCCTCCCCTCCCCCAAACCCCCAGGCTCCACTGGGTGTGGCCTCGGTTAGAAAAGTTAACCCAACCTCTTCCTTTACTTCCAAGACTACCAGCAATAGTACAAATGACAAGATAGCTTTGAAAGCCAGACCACTACAGATCCAGCCATTTTTATATCCAAAAGTTATTTGCACGTATACACACAAACAAATGAGTTCCCACTAAGGACATTTATGTAAATACTGGCTGAGAAAATGAGCTCCAGGCCCAGTTACTGTTAACACTGAACAGTCAGGAATGAAAGGGTGTGGCCCAGTGAAAACTGACTTGAAAAAAGAACTAAGCTCAGTCTCCCGGGTGTTTCTACAGAAACAAAGTTTCCAGCAGGTAAGATCCCCGAAGTACAGGAGACAGAATGCAACTCACTTTCAAACACCTTCCAAGAAGGCTCATCTCAACTTCCTGGAGCTTGAGGCTACTTTGTAAAGTGGATAAAGATGCTGTAGGACCTAATTATATATGGTGTTCGGGAAATTTATGGATCATCTGGCGCAAAGGTCACTATACACATGCAAACATGATCATGCAGTAATTACGGAGGATTTATAAGTTGAGTTCACATTTTGGATTCTCCGGGAGTGATCTGCTACATTGTAATTATGTTCTGTTATACCACGGCTGCTTCCCTCAATGAAGGTGAACTGCAGCGAAACGTCTTACTCGTTTATGGCTAATCACGTTGTTCCCACACCTCTACAAGTAACGTTCCCTTTGAACGGCACTGCGAGCGACTGACCCGTAATGTGCCATCGCACATCACCGTGTAACGCGCTCTTTTCCCCCGACAGGCCTGAAGCACACAAGTGGAATATGACACATAAGAACTTTTATATAATAAAAGTACTGAATGTCTCTGGCCCTTAAAATACTGAGCACCCATCCCTGATAAATGACAAAGACAGCAACCAATGAACAGGCAGGATTCTACTGTCTCGGCCAATAAGAGTACGGGGGTGGGGCTACACTAAGCTCCCGGTGACTTCCCCGCACCCCCGAGACCCCGGGGTTGCTGGAGACTGGACGGGAATCGGACTCCGAGGATCTCGTTACCCCCGGTTGTAGGTGTTGTCCTCCTCGTTCTCGCAATCGCTGCAGTGCTCGTGGCCGTTCCCGTTCCCTTCCATCATCTGCGGCAGCGAAGGTGCCGGCGGCTTCACTGCTGTCTCACTCTCGTCCGCCATCTTGAGTTGCGAGCGCCGGCCTCCGCGCCTCGCTACATGGGGGCTTCCTATTGGACGAGAGGAACTGGCGCTGAAGTCTGGGCTTGGTAGTTTCCGTGGCTGAGGAGCCGCCACAAACAGTGACTCCTCCCCGGGACCTGGGCCGAGACCGACTACAATACCCAGAAGCCCCAGGGGCAGCCCGTCCGGGCGGAGGGCCGACGCTACCCGGAAGCCCAGGGTGCTCGGCCGCGCCGAGAGCGAAGAAGGGCCGCAAGGGTGGCCGGGTCGACGCTGGGCGGCCCCGGGGGCGCGTGGGCTGCTGGGAGTTGTAGTTCGAGCTGCTCTAGGTTCTCGGACGTGGAGACGCCCCAAAACCCAGGGTTGCCCTCCGCCTGCCCTTGCTAGTGCCCGGCCGCAGGGGAGCCGTTATCGGCTGCCGTTAAGGACCGTTACCATTCCCGGGTGAGTAGGAGCGCTCGGCTTGAAGCCTTCGGGTGCGACCCACCGGGAGCCCGAATGCGTCAGGCCGTGGAGGGACTTTCCTGCAGGAGGTCGGGTTCGCTCCTGGTCGCCTACCGCACTCGGAACCTTGGGCATCTCCTGGTGCTTCAGGGCCTCATGGGTGTCAGTGGGTTGCGGTGCGCGAAGCACCGAGCCTCCGGGGCCGGCTGCTCCGGCCAGCTCGGTCAGCTCTGGGCCTTCTGGTACCGGCGTCCGCGCGCCGCTTCCGGCCACGCGGACCTTCCTGGTGCAGGGCAGCCCCGCACACCGCTCCCCAACGAGCACACGCACTTGCAGGCAGCGCTGGAAGGCTTCACCGCATGTCTCCTCCAACCCGCTGGACAGAATGCGGGTGCACCGTTTCACGCAAAAGACATGTGGCCCAGGTTGGCCAGTCACACAGGGACATAGCTGACAAGTATATAAACATCAGCCACCTGTCTGTAAAAACCTGAATGTGGGGACCAGAGCCACCAGGGGTAAGGCGCTTGCCTGGCAGGTTGCCAAATCGCAGGTTCGCTCCCCAGCGCTGCATATGGTTCATTGGGTCCCGCCGAGAGTGAGCCCCGTGCACAGAACCAAGAGTAAGCCCCGAACAATGCTTGGTGTGGCTCCCAAACAAACAACCAATAAAAATAATTATGACATTCTAGACCAGAGCGATAATACAGCCAATACAGTGCTTGCCTTACCCTGACCCTGGTTTAATTCTTGGCACCACATACACTCCCTCCAGCACTGCCAACACTGGTCTTGAGCACAGAACCAGGAATGAGACTGGAACATGCTGCGTGTGGCCCCCAAAACCAAAGAAAAATCAAATGTCTTGCTGTGTCTGTCCTTAAGGTCCTCTGTATTCTTTACCACTATAAAAATTTCCTTGGACTGGAGCGATAATACAGCAGGTAGGTTCTTTGCCTTGCATGCAGCTGACCTGGGTTTGATCCCTGGCATCCCATATGGTCCCCTTAAGCACCACTAGGAGTAATTCCTGAGTGCAGAGCCAGGAGTGACCCTGAGCATTGCCGGAGGTGACCCAAAAAGCAAAACAATATAAATAGGGGCTGGAGAGATAGCACAGTGGGTAGGGCATTTGCCTTGCACGCGGCCGACCCGGGTTTGATTCCCAGCATCCCATATGGTCCCCTGAGCACCGCCAAGAGTGACTCCTCAGTACAGAGCTGGGAGGAACCCCTGTGCATTGCCAGGTGTGACCCGAAAAGCAAAAAAAAAAAAAAAGCAATAATAATAAATAAAATAAAATTCCCCTTGTCTGTTCCCATTCTTCCCAAGGAACATGGGTAAGAGAAGGTAATGAGGACATCCTGATGTAGTCTTTGCCAGGACCAAGCACTTCAGTCCATGGGGTCTCATTCCAGTGATTGAACAGTCTCATGGAAGTGAACAAAGACACGGTTCCCATTTTTCAGGATGAATCATTTGGGTTGGGTTGTGGGAGGACAGATTCTTACCTGACAGTTCCATCTGAAAGGAAACAAAACAAGTAAAGCAGAACTAACTGGGCCAGGGGAGTGGGTCAGTGGTAGAGTGCTTTTCTGGCATGTGTGAGACTTTGGGTTCGATTCCCATGGTCACCCCAAGCACTGAGCTGTGATTAGCTTCTGAACCCAGGTATGACCCAAAATTCTGAAACAGTAAAAACAATACAAACTCTTCCTTTCTATATCAGTAGTAAAAGAAGAATATGACTTGTAGCAGGTCAGATAATCCCTGATCATTCCAATTTGATCTTGGAAACGAAGATACACTCTGGTTCAGATTGAGAACACTGGTCTCTACAGGGCCAGGACCACTGTCAGCACTGTCATCTATTGTGTAGGCAAGGGGATGGCACATCAGAGATAATAAAGCCCTGGGGCTGGAGCTTCAGTATAACAGGTAGGGCGTTTGCCTTGCGTGGGGCCAACCTGGGTTTGATCTCCGGCACCCCACATGGTCTCTTGAGCACTGCCAGCAGTTATCTCTGAGTGAAGAGCCAGGAGTAAGCCCTGAGCACCACTGGGTGTGGCCCCAAAACAAGATAATAAAGCCCTAAGTGTGTTAGAGGATTTAACTTTTTTTTTTCTTTTTTCTTTTTGGGTCACACCTGGTGATGCACAGGGGTTACTCCTGGTTCTGCACTCAGGAATCACCCCTGGTGGTGCTCAGGGGACCATATGGGATGCTGGGAATTGAACCCGGGTCAGCCGCGTGCAAGGCAAACGCCCTGCCCACTATGCTATTACTCCAGCCCCCCCCCTTTTTTTTAATGTAGGAGTACTGCTATTTATTCAGCCACAAGATTAGCTGATTGAATTAGGCATGAACTCCACCTTACTTTTTTTTTTCATTTTTTATAATTTTATTTATTGAATCACCGTGAGAGCAGTTACAAAGCTTTTGGGTTTAAGTCTCAGTCATATAATGAAACACCCGTCCCTTCACCAGTGCCCATTCTCCACCACCAAAACCCCCAGTATACCTCCATCCTACACCCTCCCCCTACCTGTGGGGCAGATGATTTCCACATTACTCTCTCTCTACTTTGATTACATTCAATATCTTGACATCAGACCCACCATTATTATTTGGGATTTTACCCCAACACTCAGATCTGCTGAAAAGGCAACACTAGATAATTTGTTTTCTATTGCTGGTTATGAATAACATGGTGTCACGTGGCTGCAGTAGTAGCCACACGATTTTGGAATTCCGAAGTTTTAACAATTAAATCTGGAGAGGTTTCTGCCAAAACCTGCCTGGTTCCGAGATTTGTTCCTGAGTCTCTGTATCATGGCCGTTAAGCAGCTTGATCAGGAGCCAGAAAGGCCATTCACGGGCGGCGACTCGAGGTCTCATTGGGATGGGGAGGAAAGGGCTGGCACCCCCCCATCCCATGAGGCCCCATGTGTCTCATCACTGAGGGCCCAAACCTGACTGCCCAGTGGCCTCTGGAGGATGGCGGCCACTGAACCATCTAGGGAGAGTAGGCGGAGGGACAGCACCCTTTCACTCCTGGGGTGGCCTGGCGACAGTAACCTACTACTGTTCCGGATGCATTTTTGCCAAAAGCCACTGGGTTCCGAGATTTGTTTCTGAGTCTCTGGGATCATTGCCATTAAGCAGCTTGATCAGGAGCCAGAGCAGTCGTTTGTGGGCGGTGACTCGGGGTCTCATTGGTGTGGGGGGGTAAAGGTCGGCTCCACCCCCATACAGTGAGGCCCCATGTGTCTTGTCACTGAGGGCCCAAACCTGACTGTCCAATGGCCTCTGGAGGGTGGTGGCCACTGAGCTGCTTAGGGCGAGCAGGCGGAGGGACAGCACCTTTTCATCCCTGGGGCAGCCCAGCGACAGTACCCTACTGTGGGTCCGGACGCATTTCTGCCAAAAGCCACTGGGTTCTGAGATTTGTCTCTGAGTCTCTGGGATCATGGCCGTTAAGCAGTTTGATCTGGAGCCAGAGAGGCTTTTCGTGGGCGGTGACTTGGGATCTCATTGGGGTGGGGAGGAAAGGGCCGGCTCCACCCCCATCCCGTGAAGTCCTGCGTGTTTCGTCACTGCGGGCGCAAACCTGACTGTCCAACGGCCTCTGGAGTATGGCGGCCACCAAGCCGCCTAGGGGGAGCAGGCAGAGGGACAAGCACCCTTTCCCCCCTGGGTTGGCCTGGTGACAATAACCTACTGCGCGGTCCGGACACATTTCTGCCAAAAGCCGCTGGGTTTCGAGATTTGTTTCTGAGTCTCTGGGATCATGGCCATTAAGCAGCTTGATCAGGAGTCAGAGAGGCCTTTTGGGCAGTGACTCATGGTCTCATTGGGGTGGGGAGGTTAAGGCCGGCTCCATCCCCACCCCGTGAGGACCCAAGTGTTTTGTCACTGTGGGCCCAAACCTGACTGTCCAGTGGCCTCTGGAGGATGATGGCCACTGGGCCACCAGGGGGAACAGGCCAAGGCATGAAACCTGTCCCCACCTGGGGTGGCCCGGCACCAGTAACCTACTGCAGGGACCGGGCGCATTTCTGCCAAAAGCCGAGATTTGTTTCTGAGTCTCTGGGATCATGACCGTTAAGCAGTTTGATCAAGAACCACAGAGGTCTTGCCTCCAATTATATAGCTGAGCCGGAGGTGGTTTGTGGGTGTGTCTCCCACATACCTAACTTTTGGCCATTTACTTTCTTGGTAAACTTTGCCCCAAGTTTTTGGGGTCTCGCCAAAGGCACAGCAGCAATTTTGGGGTTTCTGGAAGTCGGAAGGCGCCATCAGGTTGCTGATGCACTCGCCTCATGGGTACAGATTGACCTGCTGGCAGCACCATACCCTCGAACATTTAACTTTTCTGTTTCCCCTATTGTAGCTCATGCAACTCTGGGAAGTACTAGGGAAGGGAACTTGGAGAAAATGTGTGTGCGAATTTTTTTTTTAAGTTACAGTGATGTTTAGAGCTTGGCCCAGAATTGAACCCATGTCCAGTATTTGGATGCCCAACTCTTTATTCTTTCCTCACAGAGTGGCAGAGGTTGAATGAAGATGAACAAAATGTAGCTGAGGAAACATGATGGTAGGGAGTGGAGGCGCTGGTTTCTGTGGACCCCCCATTCTTGCCGCTGAAAGTTTACATAAGACTCTGCCATGTCCTTCACCTCGTGCTAAGCGGTTCTTGCTCGGCGGAGACCCTTTTCGGCAGGCAATGTGAGGGCCAGGACCGAGCTCAGAATGTAAGTGCAAGTCCAGTGTTCTGGAATGAGAATTTCAGATTGAGAAGAGACTTGAGAGGCAATTTTTCTCTCTCTCTGTCTGTCTCTCTGTCTGTCTCTCTGTCTGTCTCTCTGTCTGTCTCTGTCTGTCTGTCTCTCTCTCTAGTTATCTCCACTTAGATTTTGTTGGATCCATTGTTTTCTCTATAATAAAACTTAAATTCTATGTTTTAAAAAAGAAATGAAGAGCTGAAGCAATAGTATAGT